AACCTAAGCTATGGGCGTCGAGAGGAATTTGCAGCGCCCGCGCATAAGAGCTTCACGCTGTACTCCCATTTATGTGCGTTTACTCGTTATTTTGGGGTACTGTATGCACATTGTTATCCTATACTTACGATTTTGTAAGCAACGCTATTGAAACGTATATATCACAAACAGCTCATCCTTAACTTACCTTGGAAGCACATTCCACTCTAGTGGTGTGGGCGGAGTCGAGCACCACAGCGCCTTCCTCAATGCTCATTTCTCCTCTTTATCATCCCACAATCAAAACGGTGCACTATTGAAGGAGGCATGACGTTAGGCCTGACCCTTACCGTACGACCAGCATGGACTGCGATCTGAACTCCTTCCATCCCCTCCCCTGCCATCGCTTTCTCAAAATATTCCAGAAAGGAAATGAGAAGTAAAGATGATCAAAACTGGTTAATCGTTTTTCGTTTTCTTACAATTTTGGCGTATAAAAAGCAATGCAGTTATTATCTCGGTCCTATATTATTGCAATACAATCTGATGTAGGGACTGAATTTTTTTGCCAAATTCTCCTGTGAATCAGTTAAAAGCTCTTTTCAGACACTACTAGTATCTTTGCATAAGTTATCTAAATATATCGACATATCTCAACTGCCGGAGATTTTTGGTGGAACATTCACTTATGACGCGGAGAAATGGTGCGATGAACGAGAGGTATGATGGGAACTTATCGTCTCTTCTTCTGTGCCATTGCGGAATAGCTGATTTGCTTCGCGATTTCAGAGGATTGAAGCCGTAATGGCTGAGCTGAATAGCCTTTCACAGGACGTAATTCAGGCAAACGGACGATTTCAGGTCTCTCCGGATGACCCAATAATTGCGGCAGGTACTGAAACCAGTCTAAATGTTTTTTTTTCAATTCTTATTGAAACTGAAGTCAAGCGTGGCTAGCTCACATGGGGAATTGTTTGACGAACTGAGAAGAATGTAATTTTTCCTTCTATGTGTTTTTACAAATCAGGAATGCAAGTATTCTGCACAAGGAAAGTAATTTCAGGACGCGATTAATAGCTGAATCTGTAGGAAACTGAGAAATGTCCATACATGATGTCGCAGCGAAACGCTGAGAATAAATCAGTGAAATTGAATGAAGTTCCCGGACTTTTCTGAAAGGTATACAGTCACATGCTATTAGCGTGTGGGCGGGGACCGTCAAATCACTGATGGCACATCATCTGGAATCGATGAAGAATAAGTGGCCAAAGTCAATGGTTGAAAACTGTCCTTCACAGCCATCTCAGCTGCTTTATCAAGATAAGTGTGCAACTGTCTCCATATTTCTAGGTTTTTGTGACGTAAGTTCTTTCTTTCGTTATATAATTGCTAGCTGCATATCTTGCTACATTTCTTTCTCGCAATTGGCCCTCATAGACGCATCATGAGCAGAGGGGCGCTGCTGCTTGCTTGATTCACCCCGATGACGCAATTTCGAATGGCACAAAATTTCATATTGCAAAAGTGTCTACTGGTGAATATATCTCTTTTGAAAGTTCTTTTATCACGTGCTTTTGATAATGTAATCTTGCCTTGTTATGACAATAGTTAGTTTACATCGCTGCGGATGATGGGGGTGGGGGTTGAGTGTCAAGGGGCAGAGGTTTAGCGCGGCGCAAACTCGTTTCATTTCTTATTCTCCTTCGGCAGACGACAAGACTGTACCATATGGTTCGCATCAGCCGTTTTCCACCAGATGCTGTCGCCAACCGGTTCCAACAACTGGTGGAGTAGAGTTGGCTGCTCGCCAAACTCAGCTTCACTGACATGCCCCTTTATCAGCAAACAAGACTGTAACTACACTCCTTATCCCTGAGACGGAGTAGGCGTGGCTTTTGAGCATGGCATAGGACGGGTTTCTCGTGGGATACTTCAATTTGAAACAACTGCTATCTTGTTCTGTGTTAGATGTAGACATGATTACGACTGCTCCAAAATGACAATATCTCACGAAAACCTGGGCCGCCGCCATTTTAAAATCAAGTACGCAGCCACGCCTACCCGATCTCAGTGATTTCGAGAGTAGAACCGCTCACGGGGTGAAGAACCTTGTTTTTGTCTCCTATGTCTCCACATCCTTCCACAGCATCCGGCTAACCGCTTTAGAAAAATGCCTCGTTTCAGGAGCGCTGTTAGGTCCTTGTTCTCTCATACCATACATGTGAGGACCCCTGTCCACTAGATCGTGTACGTGGAGGCAGTCCTCTGTGCGTTCTGTGCGTTATTGTTGGTGTGCTTTCCATTTCAAAGTTGCCATGAAAGTGCTTTTACCATTGAAGCACTTTTTTCGCAGCTCTGAAAGGCATTAAAATGGCATAGCGCGAGCGCACCAGTGAGGAAAGTACAGCTGTTGACCGTCCCCGCCCACGCTGTCGGCATGGACTGTGCCTTTCAGGTATACAGGTGTCTTTGTGTATACTTGTACGACTGAGCAGGTGTCTTTGTGTGTACCTCTAAGGACCGATTTACCGTGTAACAGTCTCATTGGATTCTGAGACAAGACCGTGTGCTTTTGTCATTCCCGGAAGTGCGAATCCATATAGTGTAATCGAATCTTTTTCCAGCAATCTGGGCCTCCTCTACCTCAAAAAAGAAGCTGCGAAGTTGTCGAACGATGACAGCTGAAAATGAAAGAGGATGTTCGAAGATGCTTGAAGAACACCGGCTGAGAAGGAGTAGAACAGGTACTCTAATCAAATCATCGCTATGTATTTGACTGTTTGCTAGTATTACGTAAAACATAGTCTTATGCTCTCATTCATTTGAGGATATCAGTTATTCAGTAAGGGTAAAACGGGTCTTCTGTTCGGCAGGCTTTTGGATTGGATTGAAGGTCTGGTGAAAAATGGCTGCTAACACTTCATGAAATAGGAGAGAATAAAGATGAAGCTCGGCAGCTAGTAAAAGAGCATCAACAGCTAGCAATGAAAAGCAAGGTGAGCACTGTTCGTTTTTTCATTGTATACTGGCCCCTTTATTCAGTCAGTACTACATATTACGCAAATATTGACAAAATGGAAATATCCCAGAAAAAGGCATCCTAAGCTTTTTCAAAATGAAGTACGCAGCAGCCACACCCTCACCCAACTTACCATTAGAGATAACGGGACCTATTGCGTCAGGCAATAATCTTGTTTTTCGATTTTAATTTTTCTTGTAATTAATTCTTTCAGTGTCACCTGTCCGTCCCAGCTCGTCTGGGTGCCCCCTATTACAGGGTACATGCTCGTTGTGTGAAACACACACTGATCGTACTTTTCGGCTAGGAGGAGGGGGGGTCGTATTTGGTCGTTGCTGGGAGAGGGGGTCGTATGTGGCTTTGAGAGAATTCGCCGCGTTGAGAAAAAAATTTCCCGGTTGTTGACATTTCGCGTGATTGTTCCTGCTTCAAGTGTACAATCCCCGCACCCCGCTCCACGGAAAATCTTTGGGTGAAAAACTGCAAAATGTGGGAAATGGGTAGATAGGTGCTGGGAAAGGGGAGGGTTCATCGAGACCCTCCCCTAAGTGTGGGAGGGGGGGTCGTACCAAGACCCTCGAGAGAGAGGGAAGCTCGTACTGGCACCATCATCTCACACATCGCGATGCTGTACTCTGCCCACTCATCTGCTTCCTTATTGATGCCACCGGACAAGGTGTGGCTTTTCTCTAACTGTAAAAGAGAGATCTTCAGCAGTTTGGCAATGACCTATAATTTCGCCAACAGGTTTTTATCGCACTTATCTGGCTATCATTGCGTCTGGTGATGTCACGCAAATTGCAACATTTCGGCAAGCGCCACTGCCAATCGTCTCCGTTCACTCCTATAGCGAGAAGGGGTAGTCCAGGGATACGAAGCCACTCGTTTGAGCGTTACAAAGGAAGGCTGGAAAAAGAGCGAGAAGCGTTCTTCGGGAACGATCTTCAGGAAGAGCTCTTTTCCTTGCCATGGTAGCAATCCGTGTGGTGAAATATATAAAAACTAACTTCCGAACTACTTTCTAAACGCGACTATCGTATCCTACGGGCATGAAAACGCCCAATGCCCACGTCAAAGCGCTAGCGCCAAGACACTCTAAAACAACTACTCCGCTGAATGCTCCTCGGAGAATTCTGGCTTCCTGAACACGAAAATCACAGTATCACGCAAAAGTATGCTCCCTAAGCCTGATGTTACTTTACAGTAAAGCGCTCGATAGGGGCTCAGATGTGTTTTGGCACTTGTGCCAGTTCCTGTAGATATTTCGCAAGAAAGAGATGAGGCTTATGTTCTCAGC